TGTGCAAGAGAGCAGAGTTAAGGATAATTCCAAGGTTTTAGCTTAAGAAGGGAACTGCCAACAGTGAATAGCAGCATGTGAAGCAGGACTGGGAGAAAAGAACAGCCATTTTGGACATGTTAATTTTGAGACGCCTCAGACAGGAAAGTTAAGGTCCTGAGTAGACAGTTGAATGTGTGAGTCTCAAGCCCAGGGTGAGGTCCACGTTGGAGATAAACACTTGAGAATAAGCCTCAGTTTCTTCATGTGTGACATGGGGTTATTATTAACAATCACTTCCTTTGAGGTTCAAGTTTGATAACACATGTAAATCACTTAGCACAGCTGGTCACATAGGAATGCAACTAATGTTAGCTTGTGGTAATCATAGTATTAGAGAAAATCACCTATAATGTTCATGTTCCTTAGATCTCACACTTTGAATTTTCACCACTCTATAGTGTGAAAACTCACTAAGCTATACGGGGTATCCATAACATTTGAAGCAGCCTAAAAATACATTTCAAACCAAGTAATCCGCACTGATACACTCACTCCATCCCTGATTCCTAATCATGTGAAAAAGTCATCCAAGGATTAAAATAAAAAGAGAGCTGCATGCAGGAATATCTTTTTACCCATCATTTGAGAATAAAACAGCAATCTCCTTTGACATCAAAATGAATGTATACAAAAAATCCTGTTGGAGATATACTTACCCGACTCCAGCCTCCTCTGTAAATGAAAGGCAGGATAAAAGCAATGCCAGTGAGAACAGAAGTAGTGAGCATGAGCATTCGATGCACCTGCAAGGGCGAGATGACAAAGTGAGAGGGGAGCTAACTATGTATGAGAAAGGAGTTGGTGTTACTATGGGGAAAGGTCATGGGGTTGGATTCTCGGACGGCATGCATTCAATTAACATCTAATCACAGTTTGTGGTCGGTTAGAAAAAAATCTTAGTACATCACTGAGCTTTAAAGAAACACCTAAGTTGCCATCCTGATCATTCAAAAGCAGTTGCCAAGACTTGGTCTGCACAGAGTGGCAGGACTGAGTATTTCACACACAGAGCACACTTCCTTGCCAAGTCTGTCATTTCCTTCCCAATATATTTTTTAAGTTCTACCACCAAGCACATGGCCATTCCACATACAAGGAGACAGCAAGGAAACAGAAAACACTGTCACCTGAGGAGCTCGGGATATAACTGAGTAGATAAGAGAAACACATGAAATGCATAATTCATTGTCCAAATCAGAATATTGAGAGTGAAAATGGGCACTGTTAATTGATTATGTCAGGAAAACTGGTGCAAACCAAGACTATACCAGGGAAAGTAGAATATAAAGTCAGTGAGAGTGTGCACGCGCGCACGTGGTGGGGGTGTGTGTGTGTGTGTGTGTGTGTGTGTGTGTGTGTGTGTGTGTGTGTGACATACAGACATCACAGTTTTAAAGGTAGAAGAGGATTTTAATTGGTAGAGAGAACACATAAAGAGTTTTCCAGTTGGGAATAACGACAGGAGCAGATGGGGGTGGGGGTCAGAATCAAGACGGACAGTAGCAAGGCAGGTAGCAGTAGTGAGAACGAATAAAAGCGATTGACACTGCCAGCCAGAAGTGAAAAAGGAGGTTAGATGGGGTCAATCTTAAAAACTACAAATTTATGTGAATATGAAGCTTGAAGAATACCCTTATAAAGTCAAAAACTGTTCCAATAAGCAGTATTTTTTTCTACAAGCAGACATACACATTCTATCTCAACACATATTTATTGACCTTCCACTATATGTGCAAATTTCTCCATGACCCATGAATGTAAGGTCTGTCTTGTTTTGTTTTGAGGGGTGCTTATTGACTCTTTGTTCATATTTCTATGAAGATGCTGCCTCCTTGTCACATGCAAAGGAGCAACATGAGAAGAACTACTTCTAGTTTCTCTTCCCACCCACATAGGAGGTAAGGGATCTTGATTGGTGAGCTAGGGAGAGTCTGACATTTATTGGCCCGTCCACCAACCAGGGGACAGACCCGTGCTTAGAAATGCAGTCAGCACCGACTCTCTTTCTTCTGCTCTGCTGTCTTCCTTGACTTGTGTTCAGAGCAGTGGGTGAATGCTCTTCCAGGCTCTCCTTCTGTAACTAGACATGTGAGCCAGGATCATTTGAATCCCAAAGTGTATGGTACAAAGGGATACACATGGCCCTGGCACATCTTTCAACCCAAGCTGATCTTTCATAGAGCTGTCTCTATTTTGATCTCCATCAAGTGTCTTGTGCCTATTCTCAATTGGTNAGCAACATCATCAACAACATGGAAAAGCACCTTTTGTTGGTATCACTTCATTCATCCCTTACAAACGCCTTGTGAGATAGGCTTTATAGATGAATAAATGAGTCTCAGAGAATATAAGTGACTTGCCCAAGGACATGCAACTTGTAAATCAAACATGCGTACTCAGGTCTTCCAACTCCACTCTTAAACTCCCAGTCCCTTTTCAATTCACAGAATCAGCTGTTTCCCGGTCCACCACCGCTCCATTTGTAAGTGTGGTGAAGACAAGTAGAGATCCATGCAGGAGAGAGAGTCAGGGAAGGCTCCAAGGACAAAGATGATCTTCAGCCAGAACTTGATAAACTGGCTTTTGCCAGCAGAGAGGAACAGAACAGAAAGGGCATTCCAGGCAGGTGACCATCAGTGACCTGGGTGCAGAGTGAGCTTGGTGGGAGCTGCGCAAGGAAGAAGCAGGATGTGGAGAGGGACAGTGTGTATCCTGATCAGATTTGGAAAGAGTTCACAAGGAGCCTTTCTTTCATTCCCATCTATAATGGATTATCTTAAACAAGGACCTCTGTTCTTTTTTTTCCCCCTTGGTTCATCAGAGCATACAGATAAACAGAATTTCAGCCAAAAGCTACATGTGCCCCTAGAGTTTCCTTGCTGGCATCTGCTACATTTGTCTTTTCCTGCTGCCACTGCATCCTGGACTGGGACAGGATGTAGAAAGGATGAATATCATTAATACACATTAGAGTCAAAATCCTGACAAAAACCAAGTAAGGACTAAGGTGAATTTGATTCATTTATTCAATAACGTATGCCATAAGCTACCTATGCACTTAAGATTGATGTGCACAGACCAGAAAATAATAAAAACAAAAACGTCTCAGTTACAAATGCTACCTCAACCACAATTTTCTAGAATTTATTTCATTTTTTCCAAAAAAAAAAANAGAGGATTTTAATTGGTAGAGAGAACACATAAAGAGTTTTCCAGTTGGGAATAACGACAGGAGCAGATGGGGGTGGGGGTCAGAATCAAGACGGACAGTAGCAAGGCAGGTAGCAGTAGTGAGAACGAATAAAAGCGATTGACACTGCCAGCCAGAAGTGAAAAAGGAGGTTAGATGGGGTCAATCTTAAAAACTACAAATTTATGTGAATATGAAGCTTGAAGAATACCCTTATAAAGTCAAAAACTGTTCCAATAAGCAGTATTTTTTTCTACAAGCAGACATACACATTCTATCTCAACACATATTTATTGACCTTCCACTATATGTGCAAATTTCTCCATGACCCATGAATGTAAGGTCTGTCTTGTTTTGTTTTGAGGGGTGCTTATTGACTCTTTGTTCATATTTCTATGAAGATGCTGCCTCCTTGTCACATGCAAAGGAGCAACATGAGAAGAACTACTTCTAGTTTCTCTTCCCACCCACATAGGAGGTAAGGGATCTTGATTGGTGAGCTAGGGAGAGTCTGACATTTATTGGCCCGTCCACCAACCAGGGGACAGACCCGTGCTTAGAAATGCAGTCAGCACCGACTCTCTTTCTTCTGCTCTGCTGTCTTCCTTGACTTGTGTTCAGAGCAGTGGGTGAATGCTCTTCCAGGCTCTCCTTCTGTAACTAGACATGTGAGCCAGGATCATTTGAATCCCAAAGTGTATGGTACAAAGGGATACACATGGCCCTGGCACATCTTTCAACCCAAGCTGATCTTTCATAGAGCTGTCTCTATTTTGATCTCCATCAAGTGTCTTGTGCCTATTCTCAATTGGTTAGGAAACTAAAGGGCAAAAAGAAGGAATTATTAAGATTCCAAAGTTACCACTATAGCCACACAAAAAAAAATGGAAATAAACCCACATACTTTATATATCTGCATGTTGCAGTGTTCAGATAATATTGAAATTGCATGAAACTTTTTCTCCCACCTACCTGAAACCAAGTTGATTCACCAAAGAGAGTCTTTGACCAAACAGGTTTGAAGAACCGGGCAATGATTACACCTATGCTAACAGTAGTCATCCATGCCACAAACATTAAGGCACCTACCAGTAAGAAAATACAATGATTGATATCACAAACCAATTAAGCTGTTTTTAAATGACCAAGCCCAATGCTGGGAAAAAATAAACAACAAGTAAAATGTATTCAACTGACATGAGCATAACCTAAAAACACCCTACACATCATAGCTTTTACCACCACCATTACTACATCTAACAGCTAACACTTTCATAGCTCCTACTATGTGCCAAGCACTGTGTCTAAGTGTTTTACATGTATTATTCTAATTGATCTTTACAGCAATCCTATATTTCATTATTCCAGTTTTGCTGGAGGTGAAACTAATGCATAGAGAAGTTCAGTAACTCGCTCAAGCTTACAAAGTCCGAATTTGAAACCAAATGGCTTGAGCAACTGTGCTCCTAACCATTGTACTAATACAGCCAGCAGTTCTCAGAATCTTCTCACATCTCACTCCAAAAAACAAGAAAAAACAAATCAATACATTATTTCTGAATCAAATTGCTTTCCAATTGGAGCTACTAGTAAACAAATTAGCAACAATAAAGTTATTTTCAAGCTTAACTATGAGAACATTTATTGAAACTACGAGAATGGATAATGTTATATAAAGGGACTATACCATATAAGTAAAGTTCCCCACAAAAGCTAATATTTTAAATCGTATTGTATACACTACATTATTCCTCTGCTTTTAAATCCCACCTTTTCAACAATAAGCTGGGCTACATTTCAAATGAAACAACTTCATCTGTAGAGCCAGAGCGGGTTAGAGCCTTCTTTTTAGGCTATAGCTCTTCCATCTTGGTTTCTTTCATTATTTTAAGCATATGATAGTAAATATAGCACCGAGTACTTAGTATACCCACAAATACTTGTACATTGATCAGTTCTTTGACAACAAACTGTATCTTTGAAACCCAACTACTGAAAAACAATCAAAATCACAAACTACTCATTGATTAGCATTTATTTTAATAAATGGCATAATTAAGTTCTCATAAAAGTTAAATTAATGAACCCAGTGATACTCAAGCCTGGCTACAGTTAGAAACAATGAGGGCACTGTTTAAAACTATACATATCTTAAAAGCTCCACTGCTGATTTTAATGTACAGCCATGGCTAAAACCACTGAATTATCTCTAGTCCCCATGTTTAATAAAAATCAACAGTCATTCAGATACGTGGAAATACTGCTACCTGCAAGTGTTCATGCTTAAAACATAGAAGATTTATGAACATTTGCTAAATTATGTTCACACCATTTCTCTAGCCAGCACGGAGTCATCAGGTAAGGTTACTCCGCAAAGTAGTAATTCTACCTCACATGTAACTTACCATGAGCCTTCAGAAGGAAGAAAGAACGGGATCCTCCTACGTTCTTTGGATGGTCTGTCACATCATGTTTTTCATATGTAATCAAAGGTTGCTGGGAATGCTTATAAATTCGACCTGAATTTTTTTAAAAAAGGAAAAAACAATGGTAAAGAAGAATTACTTCCTCAAGAGAGAAGGAATGGAAAGACAATGGCATGGCATGGAAACAAAATTTCTTAAGGTAATAAAAAATTAATGAATATCAACAGAGATGCTATTCATATGTAAAAGCAACATAAATGTCTATGCAAGGGCACGTGAACTCCTTGGAAAAAAATTAAATAAATAATTTAGCAAACCAAGAGATGAATCAAAATAAGGACTAGAAATGGAGAAGTTATGGTTAAAAAAAAATGCAAGACAAGTTAAACAATGTCAAGTCAAAATAATTACTGTTAGTATGATCACAAGTCATTAAAAATGTCAAATATAATTCTTGAAAGAGAATACATGTTAGAAAAAAAAATCTAGAATCCTAGATAAAACTAACAGAAATTGGGCCTGGGTGAAGGGGGTGAGTTAAAGACAAAGAAAAAATTTTTGATGCTATATTATTTGACATATGGTCAATTTGGATTGGATTTGACTAAGAAACCAAAATCCCAAAGAATAGTGATATAAACAAATCGAGAATGTTTTATTATACTATTATTTTTATGTATTAATTTAAATCTGTAAATATGTAGACTAATTCCAATTAGTTTGTATATTTGAGTATGTGTACATGTTCGTTCTGGAAATCTACCCTACAGACATAGTCACCTTTTACCCAAAGTCATACGTATAAGAATGTTCACAGGAGCTTTCTGTTTGATGGCCAAAATAAATTTAGACAAACTAAATATCCATCATTAGCAAAATAGGCAAATAAATTATGGAACACACATTATTTTTAGAATACAATACATGTCAAAAGCAATAAAAATAATTAAGAAATTTGACATAACAGATATGAGTATATATTAATCTTTATCCCAAACAAAAATAAGTATTAGACCACAGGCTACATCTCAATAATTTCTGGAAAAAATAATTTTTCAGATGCAAGTTATATTTTCTATCGAAAATGCAACAAAACTAAAAATTAACAACAAAAAGCTAGAAAAAAATGGTCTGCCTAGATATTTATAAAACTACTCTTCTAAGTAACCCTTGGGTTAAATAGGAAATCAAAAATAAAATCATAAGTCTTCTTAAAAATGAGTAACAATAAAGACACTTCACATCAAAACTCATGTGATGCAATCAAGGTTCTATTCAGAAGCTTTTGTCATCTTCAAAGCATTTCCTTAAAAAAAAATTGTAAAGCACTGAAGTAATCATTTAATTCAAGATGCATTTAAACCAACAAAATATAACTTAGGAAACCAGAAATGAAGACTGATTAAAAATAAAGCCAGAAATTAACAAACTAGTAAGTCTAAAAATCAGAAAAAACAAGTCTGTAAAAAGCCAGTAAGATCAATTGAGTTTTGGGCAAGTCTAAGCACAAGATAAAAAACTAAATCACAAACAATATTAGAAATGAAAAGGGTAACACAGCTGCTAATATAAAAGATATTCTTTAAAATTATATAAAAATGCTCTATACAATTTTAAGTCCATTACAAATATTTCAAAATCTAAACGAAATGAATAAATTTCATGGAAAATCTAGAATTAAAAAAAGTGATCAAAGAAGGAGCAGTAACTCTGGAGAGTAATAACAATAGAAGAATTTTTCTTTTTAATTAGTCAAATATTTCCATCCCTAAAGGCTCAGACTATGTGGTTATGTGGTTGAGCTCTAGTATACCATTAAAAAAATTTTTTAACTTAACATGTTTTTATTTAAACTCTTTTAGAGTTTATTCTATAAGATTAGCGTAACACTGAAGCCATAACTAGGCAGGCATGATACACACACCAAACACCCACAATCCCACAACCATAGATCAAAATCATTTATGAATATAAATGCAAAAAGCTTAAATAAAATATTAGTGAATCAAATCAACTGTGTATTAAAAGAATAATAAAATATGATCAACCAAGGTTTATTCCAGGTAAGTGAGGATTGTTCACCATTCAAAAATCTATGAAAGTAATGATAAAATACTACCTCAACATCTTCCTGAAAGACAGATGAAATCCAGCACACATTAATCACATGGGCTGTTTGTAAAGTTAGGAATAGAAGAACATATCCTAAACACAATAAAAAATATCCACCAGAAAAATACAGCAAACAAGACACAACACTGAATATCAGGAGCATTCTCATCAAAATTAAGAACAAGATAAGAATATTTGCCATATTAATACTGCCATTCCACATTTTTCTGGGAGAAGTAAAGAATACAATGAGACAAGAAAAAAAATAAGGGCTATTAACCCTGTTATTATTTGCACAAGATATATTGTTTACCTAGAAAATCCAAGATAATTAACTGGAAAACTAGGTGGCTATATTCAAGATAAACATTCAAAAATCAATAAATTTCCTATACACCAACAAGTTTAGAACATTTTTTTAACCCCCATTCACAAATTTGTTTTAGAAATCTATAAAATACCTATGAACAAAGTAATAAAAAATATATAAGCCCTACATGAAGATATGCAGGAACTCACAGGATCTGAATAAATGGAATACCCTAATATATTCCTGGATAGGAAGACTCACAATTGCAAAGATGTCAGTTATGCTCCAAATTAATCTAAAATTTCATGGCAATTCCAATCACAACTCCAATAGGATTTTTAATGAAATTTAACAAAATTATTTCTGAAGTTCATCTAGAAGAACAGATATACAACAAAGAGGCAAGAAGTCAGGAAAAAGGCCAGGACAAGAATTATGTTCTATCAAAATTCACAACCTATTATAATGCTATAGTAATTTCAATCAATGCAGGCAAATAGAGCAATGAAAGTGTAAACCAGAAGTTGTTTAATTAATGATAGTAAGTGATAAAGAGGCACTTTAAATATATGATAAAGAGGCTTTTGAAGCAGGGGAGATAAAATGAACTATTCAAAAAATGGCCTGAGGACACCTGGTTATTCATTTGGCAAATATTATTATATATGGCTTGTTATAACAGAGAAGATCAGAAGTAAAGCAGAAAATGAGAAGCGTTTCATGTAACAAAATACCTAGAGAAGCGAGCATGAAGACGAGACACTATCAGGAGCTATAAAAATGTCAAAAAGAGAAAGATAAAGAGAACTATTAAAAATGACAGGAAAGGCACTGATAAATCAAAAAAATCCTGCATTAGTAGAGTGGTAGTGATGAATGAAAATCAGGCTACATTCCCAACAGCCTGAGAGTCACAGTTGGAAGAAAATGTTATTAAACTCTGATTCACTACAGAGTCATGGACTAAGCATGAACTTAGCTTTCATTAAGGCAGAAGTCCATTATAATTTTGAAGTTCCATTGTATGACTCCATTATAATTTTCAAGTTCTAAGGGAAGATGAGTTTGTGTTTAGTAAAAAGCTGTACAGTATTATGTGACCTATGGTATTCCTAAATTGTTAAAATAACAGGTCATATGATAACAGGTCTCTACTTTGTCAATTATTTAAATTGGTAGATTTCCTAATTGTAAATTACTTATTCACCCAAATGAGTTCCATCTTTCAGTTCAAACACTCAGTACTTCCCATGACTGCTTATCTCACTATAGGACAATGTCAACATTCTGGGGAGAAAATAGCAGTTAGAAATAAGGTTTTAAATAGATTTTACTGAAATGGGTGTATTTTACATTTATATGGTTACAGAAATCATCTGCTTGCATTGAAAAATGGTTTCAACCTCACAAAGTCTCACTGCTTTTAAGCAGATTGCAACTTCTAAACGGTCCACATAATATACAACATAATATATAACAGAAGAGGCAATGATTTATGCAGTTATTGTACTTTGCTCCCCAATCAGAGCGAGCTGGAAAGTGAATTTCCTGAAACAGTATGTCTAGGTTCTTTGAGGTTTTGTTTTATTTTGCTTTGCACTCCACCAGTTTTAAAAAATGAGTCTGTGCCCTGATATATATTTTTATTAAAAAGACGTACTCATGTATTATTGTTGTAATACATTGTGAGCATTGTAAGATATATTAAAATAGAAAGTTTTAATAAGATAAACTATATCAAAATACAAAGTTCTAGTATTGTTTCCTGTATCCTCGGGACTGCCCTACAATATGTACGCCCTAGTGGGGAGAGCCCGGTCCCTAGACCAGTAAGTCATCCCCGGGATGCTTGTTACAAATGGAAGCTCCTAGCACCAACAACAGAGATTCAGTGGGTCTGAGATGCAGTTCAGGGATCAGCATTTCAACAGTCACTCCAGGTGGTTCTGAAGCAGGCTGCTTGAGCCCCCCACTTTGAGAAACACCACAAAAGACAAGGTAGAGAGCTTCTCCCTACCTACCATGCCATCAGCACAGCAATTCCAGCAGGAGAGGGAGATTAAAAATGCTCTATCCTTCACATGTATTATCCATGAACTAGGTTTTTCTGAAGGGATAGAACTGTTACTTATTGTTTCTATCAGAAAATACGTTCCAATTTCTACAATGCTGACCTAGGAAGAAATTTGGGGCATTGCCATACACACCACACACACACACACACACACACACACACACACTCATAATTTATTATACAACAGAATTCATCCATTTCAATGAAATTTCTTTTCTTTTGAAGTATAAATTTTTTAAAGTATAACATTTTTTAAAGTATAAATGGACACGGTTAAATCCCCTGGCAATTTAAGAAATCAATTTGAGTCAGTATCATTTTATGGAGCTCCTATACCACGCTGGCACCAAAGGAAGCAGTTTGGTAAGGTAGAAAGGTCAGGCCGTTTTGTAACTGGACAGAACTGTCATTTCCTGACTCTGCTACTTGATTGGTTTCAAACAAGTTACTTAACTTTTCTCAGTTCAGGCTTCCTTATCTCTAAAATGGAAAATATAGTATCTATTTACAAAGACTCTGTGAGAAATAAATGAGATAGACACATGTAATGTATAGTAAGTAATAATAACACAATTTTCTACACTTTAGTGGTATCTGTTGAAAAACACAACTATTTGACCTTTTCCTCTTTAAAAAATCATTTCCTACATTTTCCATGTTCCAAATACTTAGGCTCTGAGGTTCAAAGAGTTTGGGTTCAAAGTCCAACTCTATCATTTACTTCTCTGGGTAAATTACTTAACCTAAGTTTCCTCCCAGATAAAATAAAGATAATATAATAATAGTACATACCTAGTTTTTCTGAAGAGAAAAATGAAAAACCTAACTCCAGTGCTTAACAACAACTGGCACTCATTTAGTACTAAGTAATATTTATTCATTATTATCATTGAATCAAAAAATTATTTTTTCAAGCAATATTTGCTGTTGCTGGTACAAGTAAGAATATATAATTTTACTAAGACAACTACAGATATCATCTACAACTAAATCTACAAGTGTGTCTATATTTTCACTGAATATTTTATCCTGCTTCACTCAAAACCTTTTGGCTCTCCATTTTATCCACAGTATAAAATCTAAACCACGTGGTAGAATATTCAAGGCTTTTCACAGCTTTACCTGCACATTTCTGCTCTTCATCTTCCTTTACCCAACCCCCTAATCCTCCATTCTACAGGTCCAGCTCTCACCATTTTCAAAGTTGGCTATGTGCTCAAAGTTTGGGAGCAGTAATATGTCCAGAAAGATAAGTCACCAAATACTACCTTGGCGTTTCCCGCAGCTCTTCAAAATATCATTAGCCAAGACCTTAAACAAAATCTAATTGTTCCTATTAATATGTGTTGCAATACCCACCGGGGTAGCCTTCTTAAGGCTAAACTAAACATTGGAATGCATAAAACCACCTTAGGCTGCATGTGACATCAGATTCACTTAGAAAGACGTGGACTGGAACCACAAGATGACGTGAGGCATTCTCCTTGGATGGGGGGTCTATAGCAGTTTATTCAGCTATCCAGGAGCTATTCTCTTTCCCTCCTCTCCAGCCCACTGGAGAAAGCTCAAATCCAAGGAGATGAGACTAATATTGGACAGATTATCCCTCAAGAACTGATATCTCTTTCAACAACCCCGAAGTCACTGCCTCTTGTGTCCCTGCAAGGGATCTGCCAATGTCACTACACTCGGGGAATCTCAAAGACATGGCTTCTTACCAGACATTTATGGTTCTTCCTGGTCCAAATGCTGTTTACCAGCCAGAAATCACTTTTATCCTAAGCATGTTGCCTTATTGCATAGTTGATGCTAACTTCATCTAGTGTCCAGGGAAACAAAGCTAGAAGGTCAATCAAGGTCAATCTGTCAGGCAAAAAATGGAATGGGTTTTGCTAACTCTTTACCCACAAGTGTATATCTTAAAAAGGAGCAATTACAATAGTCTCTCCAAAAAAAGAGGGGAAACAGGAAGGAGAGAAAAAAAACTTGAAAAGATAGTTTTTATCAATATACAGTACTTACCGTCATCAGCTGCACCATCTGCTAGAAACATGTAGTAGCTTGTGTTTAGATCAAATCTATTCTTAACCCCAGGAAGGGTAATGTTTCTTCTGAAAGAACACTGCATAACACCATCCTCCAGCCTCCAAGCCATATCCTCAAGAGTATCCTACAAACACATACAATGGGTCTTCTCAGCACTTTCCAAAGATACGATCAAAATCCTGACCTTTCAATTTCCTTTTTCTAAGATCCCCTGCGCATGTTTTGTCTGCAGTGTTATTGTTTTTCCACTTCCTCTTTGAAAAGAGTACAAAGAAACATTTTCTCCCAGTTTATTTGTCTTTATTCCACTTGGCAAAAATATTATTTTTACTGAGTCAAAACCCCACAACTCCTCTACCCGGGTTAGAAACTTTGGCAGATGTACTAACTCTGGCCACTAACACACAATCAAAAACACTGAAGAAACAATTAGTAAGTAAAACCTTACAGGCCAAAAGGCAGCATGCCACTGGGGAAAAGTCCCATCCCACCTGTGAGAGTCAACCCCACAGGGAAGCTATGCAGAGAACATAACACATCGTTAGGTGACAACTGCTGCTCATCTGCTTGTCAGCTGCCCTGTGAAAAACATACTTTTTACCAGAAACAGGCCATCTTTGGCACAGATGCCAACAAGGAGCACTTAAGACAACTGCCAATGGCACTGAACCAGCCTCTACCATATGTGCTCCTCTTCCTCACTAGTCAAGTGAAATTCTTCGTCACCCAGCTCCCAAAACTTACGAAATACAAGTTGGTAGTTACAGAATAGTCGAGGGGATGTAAAGTACAGCATAGAGAATATAATCAGTAGTGTTATAACAAGGATGTATGGTGCCAGGTGGGTACTAATCAAGGGATCACTACATAAATTATATAAATTTTACAAATTATAAAACATCTGAAACTAATATAAAATAATATTGAGTGTTAACTGTAACTGAAGAAAATTAAAAAATTCTTTGTGTCACTAACATAAGTTTGTTCTTAAAAATCGGTCTGTGAGCTTTTTAAAAGGGGCCAACGCTTTGACCACCTTAAACCATAAAATATTTTTTGTAAGATGCAACAAAAAGGATTTAAGTGGCATACGCAAGAATTCATCTTTTCCTACAAGAGAAACTTGTCTTGTGCTGTCTAAAGTAATTGTTAGATGGAGGGTGGCAGTTATGTAGGATATAAGTCTATGTTCTAATGTACAGCATGATGACTAAATAATACAGTACTGTGTACCGGAAATTTGCAGAGTATATTTCTCATCACAAAAAAAAATAGGTAACTATGTGAGAAGGTGAATATATTAATTAGCTTGACTATAGTAATGTATTGCATATCAAAACATCATACTGCACACCTTAAATATATATAATTTTACCAAATATATATATTAAAAAAACTAAAGTGCAGATGTTTTTCCCAGCTTATTGTAAGAGAGGAACTGTGCTGCCAGGCCCCGGCTCAGGCCCTGCTGCTAACTGCAGACTGGAGGCTATCTTGCAGCACAGCCATGCCACTGTCAGCCACACAGCCAGAGCTGGACAGGCCAGGGAGAGGTCCCCAGAATTCTCACACCTACCCTGGAGTCCATCACAGGGTGACTTCGCCCCGTCAAGTGGGAAGGTTGTATGTGCACAGTCTGACCTTCATGAATACACATATAAGCATCATCATTGCCCTGAAAAACAAATGCAAATGAGAAAAGTTCACAGGAGTTTCAACACTTATTTTAAGTCCCTAATGAAATCAAATAGGATTTGATGTTTTTAAAACATAATCTATTAACAATCTTAAATGATACTATGAATTTTAGAGAAGTGGCTATCCAGTTTGTTAATAGAAATGACTGTTATACTATGAAAGCAATATAATTTCAGTGTGAAAAAATAAAAAATAAGAATATAAGATGTTTAAATGCCCATAAATCCATCACCATTTGAACACCACTGTTAACGCTTTCATATATATTCATCCACATCTATTTGTAGTTATACCTATTTTTTTTTCTCCCCAAATGGGAAAATAAAGTTTTGTTACCTTTTTTCACTTAACTAATCATGAACATTGTTCTGGATATTTATTTGTAAATAAGTATCCATGTCTTACAAATTTTCATGATTGTAAATGCACTGCATTATAATGGATTTTAAGGGTTTAACTTTTGAGATGGAAGACACTGTAACCAAATATTGCTAATGTTGTACACACTCCATAGATTTACTATTACATATTGAGACCAAACTGTCTGAGCTCGAGACATTCTTTGTCGGCCTAATTCCTATCCATTCTTCAGTCTCTACTATTTCTTAACTCTAAAAAGTTAGATCTCATTGAAAGTAACTATCAGAGGGCAGACTTCATCTTCAAAGAGCATGGTACCTTTTTTGGGGTGGTACAAATGAATAATTTGGATATTAAGTTATTGTGTATAGTTTTGGTTGTTTCGCCTATCCTAAATCATTCTCCGTAAATAAGGTCTTTTATGTGCTTTAGTTACTAACCTCCTTAAAAAAGATCCAAGACTAACCAGTTATAATATATTTCTAATATGTTTTAAATTTATTTTCCACTTTTAAGAACTCTCAAATACATAACCTTAGCAAAGCAATTATTCACTGTTACACACTTATATTTAACTCAGAATCAGCCTAACTCAAGATAAGAAATTTGGAGTCATTATGATTTAAACCAGAAATCGACAAACCATGGCACAGAGACCAAATTCAGTTTGATGCCTGTTTTTGTGCAGGCCACAGGCTGTGAATGGTGTTTACATACCTACATGTTTCTTTCTTTATTAAAAGAAGAATAATATTTTCTCATGAGAAGTAAAAATATATGAAAACCAAATTTCACTGTCCAATATAAAGTTTTATTGGAACAGAGCCACACCTATTAATTTATGGATTGTCTATAGCTGCTTTAGCACTACTACAAGAGCTAACTAATTGCAACAAAGACCATATGACCCACAAATTCTAAAGTAGCTACTATCTGGACCTTTACAGAAAAAGTTTATTCATCTCTGATTTAAACAATATGTGTTTTCAAGAATAACTATCATCAATAAGCCATAAGAATTCTTTTATATACTCCTAAGTCAATCTATACAGACACACACACAGAAAAAGAGAGAGAAGGATAAAGTAGGAAATGCAGGTGAACATTTTTTGGTTATTGGTGCACATTATTGGTGTTTCTTGTGGCATTCTTTCAACTTTCATGTAAGTTTAAAACTTTTCAAAACAAAAAGTTGGCAGTGGGTAGGAGGAAGAAGGACCTGAGAGGCAAATAAAAGGGAGGAATTTAAGTCATAACCCAAATTTCCCTGAACACCAGAAAAGATGGTGGCAGTAATGAATGAGCTACTCTATAAGTTGCCCAGGACAGTATCTGAAAAGAAGCAAGAAATCAATAATGGTAGCTGCTTTTCATTATTGTTCTTGATCACCAAGAAATGGGGAACACAGAGAACATTAGGGGGTAAGATAAATTCGGTTTTATAGATGATGGTTTGTGCTGTCCAGGAACACTCACTCATCTAGACAAGACCAGCCGGCAGCCAGACATCCCAATCTGCAGTACAAGAGAAGTCAGGACGGGGGACATTCTAGAATTTGAGTGTTGAGAAATTATTTATTGAACAAGAGGATACTGAGTAGGAGAAGGAAGAGAACAGAAGCTAATAATATAGTGTAAATACTTGATATATTTTATATCATTTAACAAAATATCTGAGATGGGAAAGATGTATCTTCTTTGAAATTCAGTTAAAATTCAGACATTAGCAAGTCAATGTCAGCAAAAAGATGAGAAATTAGGGAGCCAGCCGAGGGCTCAGTTGGTTAAGAATTGGCTTGGGAGTGTGAGCTCTGAGCAGCAGGGTCACTGGTTCAGTTGCCACATGGGCCAGTGACCCTGCGCTCTCTACAGCTAAGATGGTGAACAACAGCTCAACCTGGAGCTGGGCTGCCGTGAGTAGCCAGTGACAGTGTAGGCTGCAGCCCCTGCTGCAGTGGGCTGCCGTGAAGCTACCGTGAGCAGCCCTCCAATGGCCAGCAACTGACAAGAGCGTAATGATCATAATACCAACATGGACCAGTGAAGCAGTGTCCTCCACAACTAGACTGAAGAACAAAAGGACAGCAACTTGTCTGTTCCCCTTCCCTGATTCCCCAACAAAATCGTTAAAAAAAAAAAAATGAGAAATTATATTTTTCATCAGTTTTAATGATGAGGTCTGATATCAAAACAATTGCTATGTAAATTATGGCCACACTGTAAAAAGATAATCTAGGTCAGTTAATTAGCACTTATATCTTCAGTATTTAAATTTATGTGACATACTGAAAAGAAATAGCAAGTCATAAAAATATCCTAAAAACTTAAAAATAACCAAAAATAGAAATAGCCACTTTAAAAATATATTTTAAGGATAATTTCTTTCCCCCAATGTAGGCTAACAGGTGTACAGTTTATTTTAATCTTTAAACAGAATTGCTCTGTAAATCAAATGCACCTGCATAATTAAGACTTTTTTATAAACATTTTTGATGAGTACTATACTAGCAACCTAAGTAAGATAAATACATCTTGAATTAGAGATAAATGCTTTTATGACATCTAGGCCTACAACTTGTAACACAAATAACTGGTCTACCTGTAGGCTCCTCATCACCACATTCAAAGCAACAATAATGTCTTTTCCTCTTGCTGACAGACTTTACATGTCCAGAAAAAGGAAATGTGCTAGTATACCTCTGCATGAAGTTCGGCTATAAAGTGACTGGAATGTCTTTTATTTAAGTGACTATAACATATATCTAAATGAATACTATACATTAGGGAAGAACACTAATGAAACTACACACTTATTCCAACAAGGCTACCATTGCTAATCCTTGTTGGACTCATCTTCAGAACTTCCTCATAGCCAGTTCCAACCCATTCACACAACAAGCACTACCACCATCTTATTGCTTCACAGTCATCCCACTTTATTTTTAACCCAGCCTCATTATCCACCTATGCACCCAACTTGATTAACTTTTGGCAGAACTGCGAATACCCAAAAGAATACACTACAGGCCTGATGGCAATTACAAAAGGGAAATAGGGAGCGTGATTTGAACAATCGCAACATCATTTGAACAAGTATAAAATTTCCCAACTTTAAAAGGAAAAGAATTATAATTTCTTATATGATATTTTTAAAAGTATATGGCATAGTTTATATTTCATGGGTTTAAGTATATCATTTATTTAATGAAAGAGGATAACATATGCATTCTAGAACAATATAGTAAAATATGTAGGTCATATGCATATGTCGCAATGTCATCACCCACCAAAAAAGTCACACCTGGCTTCCTGCAATACTTGCAACCAGAGTACAAGGACCAACATGATCCAAGTGCACGTTTAGGGGAAATATTAGTTTTTGTATCACAGAATCTCAGAGCTCTTTTTCTTTTTTTTGAAATGTGATCCCCAAAAGAAGTGATGTTAAGTTTAAACCTGACAGAAGAAAACTCTCGAGAAAAGAATGCTTGCCTGTGCTCATGTGGAGGTAAGAAGCTTCTCCATTTGTGGTCATCCCCGTCCCCCACTGCCAACTCTGCGTGGACAGGATTGACCCAGGTCCTGGCCACAATACCTTCATCCTCGGCCCTGGGTATTCGGGATGTTATGCAGCTCTCTGCTCTTACACACCACAGCGCAAGGCTGCCACCTACAGAATCATGTCACCCATTCAACACTACCCAGGGAGAGTGAGAATCAGCTTAAAACAAAGCCTGCCTTCTGCAGATCAGAGACAGGTGCCTACTGGTAAAGAATACATTTGTAACTGGACCCTCCAGGTGTAATTTCCTATTTGGGAAATGCCCCTGTGACGACCAAAATGGGGGCGACACGAGTAGCAACCCATGTTTTTCCTTGTTGGCCACTTGAGAAAACAGCTAGGGCTTGGAAAGCATCACAAACAACATGAGACTTCCTGCAGAGCAATTTTTTTAAAACTGCACTTCCTGCTTTATTACAGAAAGATAGACGAGATAGATAGAAAGATAAAGTGGCAAATCCACTAGAAATAAAATGATTTTCCTATCTTTCCTTAGGATGGCCTATTCTTAGAGGTATGTAATTGCCCAACTGTTAAAAACATGAAACACTCAAAGCTGTTTAACTTAGAATCTGTCCTAAGTTATTCTGCCCTTTCCTTCCCACTCCCCGCCTTACGTGTGATAATTTGATTCTATTATAGAACAAACAGCTAAACTGCCATTGATTAGAGCTCACTCCAGTGATTCTCCTTTTACTACCACTTATATAAGTGAGAAGTACAAACCATCCATCGGTCATGAGAAAACGCAAAGGATAAATAGCCTTTACTGGGGCCACTCATCTCCACCATCACGGATTGGTCCTCTCGTGTAAAGGACAGGAAGACACAGGCATGCTCCTTCTCTGGGTCACAGTTCAAAGGACTCCGAACACAGAACTTCTTGTTCCCACAATCTGAAGCACTGAACTAGAAAAATGACAGGGGGGGAAAAGTCTTAATTATCATACAAGCAGTTCATTTCCAATGACAGAAGAACCACTACCTTGAAGCACAGGTTTTAACGAGAATACCTTTTCATAATGAGGATTCAAATAAGGGAACAAAAGACACATCCCAAATTAGAAATGATGAGAGCAGTAGTTAGGTTGTGAACTTTTAAACTTCATTAATTTTAATTAAAGTTTGGAAGGCACATTAGCTGAACTGTAATTGTGTATAAGTATTAAAGTCTCTTTAATACACAAAATATTTCACATTAATTATGTTGTGGAGCAAAGTTTCCGGTAAATTTTGAGAAACTTCTTAGGGAATATTTAAGTCCATATTGACATTTTTGCCTAAAGGGTATTCTCTAGTTTTCTAGAGGTAGAATTTTGAAAAGCAAACAAACAAACACTTAGCAATTCAGATCCTGGACTCCTTCTAGAATTCAATTCAAATCTGATATTAAAGTAATAGAAGAAAAAAGGGTTACTCCAATATATTCCACCCTTCCAAAAAATGGTAATAACAATTTAGTAGGGAGAAACAAGAACAATCTATGACTTAAGACTTCTTGGTATGACAAATAAAAGGAAGAGTATCAAAAAATGTCAGCTCTATGGGCCAGGCGGGTGGCTCAGTTGGTTAGAGTTCTGAGCAACAGGTTGCCGGTTCGATTCCCACATGGGCCAGTGAGCTGCGCCTGAGCTGAGCTGCCACTGAGTTGCCAACAGGCGGCTGGATGGCTCAGCTGGTGATAGCGGGTGCTCTTAACAACAAAGTTGCTAGTTCAACTCCTGCATGGGATGGTAGGCTACGCCCATCTGCAACTAAGATTGAACATGGCACCTTGAGCTGAGCAGCCGCTCAGCTGGTCAGAGCACGTGCTCTTAACAACAAGGTTGCCGGTTTGACTCCTGCATGGGATGGTGGGCTGTGCTGCCCCCCTCCTCCCCGCAACTGGATTGAAAAAAAAGCAGCGACTGGACTTGGAGCTGAGCTGCACCCTCCACAACTAAGATTGAAGGACAACAACTTGACTTGGAAATGATGGGTCCTGGAAAAACACAATATTCCCCTTCCCCAATTCCCCAACACTGTTCCCTTCTCCAATTTCCCAATAAAATCTTTAAAAAAAAAAAAGTCAGCTCTACAATTTGACAGAGCAAATGAGCAACCATCCTGTTAGAATGGATTGTGACATTACATTTCAGAAGAGAACTAAACAATACTTTACATAACTAGATTTAATAAGAACTGTATAGAAAAAAACTCTCCTTTCTTCTTCTACTCTATCAGTAGTTCAGGCCACCAAATGTGTGGGGGTTTTTCCCACACTAAGCAATTCTGCAATTCTCTGTGGACACCAATTGGGTGTCCTATAACTCAATTCCATTCCAACACTATCTACCTGAAGTTAGTGTCAGATCCCACAGGTTAAGGGCTCAGTCCCACGAGACTGCACCCACTTCAGATGCCAATCTCAAGTCCCAAGTTATCACTTGTACTTCTGATCAGCCATAAATTGGATGTTCCTACAATACCCTTTTTGGGTTTGATAATTTACTAGAATGACTCACAGCACTCAGGAGAACAGTTTACTTACTAAATTACCAGCTTATTATGAAAGGATACAACCAGGAACAGCCAGGGGGAAGAGACGCATGGGGAAAAGTATGTGGGAAAGGGTGTAGCGCTTCCACGACCTCTCTCAGGCACCACCTTCTTAGCCCCCATGGGTTCAGTGACCCAGCTCTCTGAACCCCATACTTTTGGGATTTTTATGGAGGTTTCATCATGTAGGCATGATGGATTATTAACTTAATTTTCAGTACCTCTTTCCTCTCTGGAGAATGAGGGTGGAAATGAAAGTTCTCAGCTTCTAATCATAGCCTGTTCTTTCTGGTGACCAGCTCCTATCCAAGAGTCCACCAAGAGAGTCACCTCATTAGAACAAAACATGTTCCTATAACCTGAGAAATTATTCCAAGGGATTTAGGAGCTCTGTGTCAGACACTCCTATCACTCAGAAAATTAAAAGCTTTTAGGAGTTCTGTATCAGAAACTAGGGCCAAAGGCCAAATATTAGCAAGAACTAGGATACACACATACATATACATACACACACACACACACACACACACACACACACACACACACACACACACACGAGGTCTGACAAATTCACAAACTTTTTGCAACGATGTTGCTAACCTTTTTTGATATCAGAGGGATTGTTCATTATGAATTTGTACCCACTGGACAAACAGTTAACCAAGTTTACTACTTGGAAGTGATGAAAAGGCTGCACGAAAAAGTTAGACAAAAACGACCTGAACTTTTCGCCAACAATTCATGGCTCTTGCATCACGACAATGCATCAGCTCACACGGAACTGTCTGTGAGGGAGTTTTTAGCCAGTGAACAAATAACTGTATTGTAATATCCTCCCTACTCACCTGATCTGGCCCCCAATGACTTCTTTCTTTACCCGAAGAAAAAGGAAATATTGAAAGGAAGACATTTTGATGACATTCAGGACATCAAGTGTGATACGACGACAGCTCTGAGGGCCATTCCAGAAAAAGAGTTCCAAAATTACTTTGAAGGGTGGACTAGGCGCTGGCATTCGTGCATAGCTTCCCAAGGAGAGTACTTCGAGGGTGACTGTAGTGATATTCAGCAATGAGGGTATGTAGCACTTTTTCTAGGATGAGTTCACGAACTTAATTGTTTGCTCTCGTATTTCACATTATTTCACAGAAACGTAAAGAGAAGTCATAGTGGAGTGGAGAACACACCACTAGTAATTAGGAAACTTGGGTTTGGGACTCAGCTTTCCCCCCTTGACTCCATCACGTCTGCTAAAGAGCTTAATTCTCCCAGGATCCCTTTACCTTCAACTCTATAACAGGACTGGAGAAAATCAACCTGAGGTCTCTTCTAGCTCTACAATTGCTATAACCCTATGACTCTGAAAGCACCTCTCGACAGTTAAAGATTAGAAACTTGGCACAGAGATACAATAAAAGTTCCAACAAGAGTTAATAATCCCTGTTATGTGAATATATGGAAAAATCACAATCTTGTCAACAGATTCCCACTGGGAAGCGCAAGTCCAAACTGACTGTTTCCACCCCTAAAGCAACTTTTAAATATATAAACGTTAAGGCTAAGTAAACTAAGAACTAGTGCACATAATAGATCTAAATGTATGGGCAAACAAAAGTACATTTATAATAACGTAATCAAATATAATTGTCATATATTGCAAAATGTAGAAGAAAAGGAAGACAAAATGAGCCATTACAGAGAAGTACCATTGTTTTACGTGGTCTTCTCTAAGAGAACGAAGAGTATAAAAAAGATAAGGGAAGGAAAAGAAAAAAAGGAACTAATATTTACTGAATATCAAGTGCAAAGCAGTTATAAACCTTATTATACTCATTATATTGTTTAATTCTCACAGTGATACTAAGAGTTAGATGTTATTCTCATTTTATAGTTAAAGAAACTGGGGCTTTAAGAATCAAATAATTTGTCCAAAGTCACACGGAAAGCAGACAAGTCAGGATTCAGGCCCAAGTTTGTTCCTTCAGCTGCTTTAAGATAGTTTTCATTATATTCACTTCTGAATTAATAAGTCAAATTTATCAGAACTGCCTTCAGTAAAACCTCTCTAGTGTTTCTAATATGCATTACCCTTTCCAAGATATGTTTTCTCAATCGTAATTCTTCTGAATTAGAGGGCCTACATGAATTCTAGCTGATGAGCTTGCAAGAGTTTCTGTACTCCAGCACATAGAATTCCTCAGCACTCATTGGCCTTAATGAAATAAGATCTAAGAGTTAGACCACCATTTCAAGATTCTGCTCCAAATCTTGTCTAAATTTAGCTTAAGCTCCCTCTCTATGTTTGATATTTGGTGATGGAAAGAGAAGAGAAACAGACAGAGACAGAGTGAGAAATAGGGAGGGAGGGAGAGAGGGAAAGAGGAAGTGATGGAGGAAATGAGGGAGGAAGGAAGGAAGAAAGGAGGGAAGGAAGGAAGGGAATCGCTGCTGCTCCATCAGATTTATTTTCAAGTGAAAACAGCCACTGCTGGTATAGACTACGTGTCAATGTCATAACCATGCCTTGAACATGCAGGGTCTTGCACTCCCGCTATACTAACGTTTAAGTCATACTGTTGCAATGAAGACTTCCTTCATATTCCCTGCAGAGAACCCAAGCACTTGCTACCACAATTCCGTACAGCTGCTCCTCCACACACGTCTCCAAGCATAGAACCACAATTTCCAAGGCAGCTGTTATTTTAGATCGCATTTAGTAAAACCATAAATATGGTACTTACCGATTTGGTTAAATGGGAGACTGAAGGTAATGTTGGCAAAGGTGCTGCTGTAGCTTCAGGTGTTATAAAAGGAGGTGCATTTGGTTGTGAAATCACAGGACTAGGAATCTTCACCCAGTAGGTTTTATAGTTCTCAACAACCGTGACTCTGAAATGAAGTACCAGGATGGTTAGAAAGAAGCATGATAGTGGCCCATCATAATCAAATCAAAACATTAGAGGGGGGAGAAAAAAAGGAATGAAGTAGGGACACACGACTGAACAGCGCCTAACAATGCTAATCATGTCTGAGGCAAATCTCTAATGACTGTCTTCCACACCATCACAAATGAAATTGTATTGCACTCGCACACATGCCTGCGCTCTCTCGCACTTTCTCTCTTTCCTTCTTTTCTTACTTGTTTTTGGGCATACTCATGATGCCAGATCTAGACACTAAACCACACAGATTTCTATTCCCTGATATATAAAGAATATACTACTACTACTACTTCATAGTGCTCTGTTCAAAGAGCATCAGTCAGCAAAATTCAGGACTAAGACAGGAGCAAATCTAAAAAAGTATCAGCCCATACACCCTATAGACTCAAGTATTAATTGATGACTCTTATTAGTATGAAGGCAACGCAATACTTCATTCACTCAACAAATGTCTATTAAATGCCTATCAAGTGCCAGGTCCTGTGTTAGGTACTGGGTATGCAATGGTGGAAAAACCAACAAAATAAGCAAAACACTAGGGTGGCGCTATTACTATACCAAATCTCTCCTATACAGGTGAATGTCCAAGAGGTTTTAAAAATTATACAGACCCTTACTGTTTAAACCATACTAGTGACAAGGTTGTTAACTCTTCTTTCTACTCACAGAAACTGTATGTGATTCGGGGCATTGTTTGGAGCATTCCAGTAGACTTGAACTTCTGCTTTTTTGTATCGACTTGTGTGACTCACAGCAAATCCCTGAAATAAAATGGAAAAGAACTATCATTCAGTCACTCAATAGCTCAGCATGGCTGGAACTACTATCACTTTGCAAAGTAATTTATTATTGCACCACCTTAGCATTCTAGTGAAGGCTATTTTATTTAGAACAGGGACTCACATAACCAAATGCATGTCGACTGATTGACACCAAATTAGCAGCTGGCTCTGTGAATAAATTGGAGTCAGCAGAAATTTTAAAACTAAAGAGAGTTATGAATACTGGGTGTATTAATGCTATATAAACCTGCTTGGTATTTCACTTATACTATAAATTTATATCCCTTCCATTAATAGAAACAAATAATATGCAGAAGATTCATCAAAAGAAAGAAATTCCTGCCCCCAAATATGCTGCATTGTATTTTAGTAATTCCTTTCTCTTCAACAATTTTCTTCATCTTGCAAATTCCTACTCATTCTTTGTAGCCAAGCTTTAGGATCTTCTCCTCCAAGAAGCTCTCTCAATCCCCTCCAGCCTGTGTGCGCACCCCCTGCTATGCTTCCCACCTCATCCGGTGTGTCCTTCTCATCCAAGTCATCACACTGTTCCACTCGCGTGTCTGTCCTATATCTATATGTCCCGCCTATGTGCCAGATGTCACGTGTTCATATGTTTTATTTACGTGTAAGGCTATGAGCTCTTCCAGTCTTGTTCATCACCAGATCCCTTGCACTCAGGATAGCTCCTGGTATAGTAAGTGTTTATTAAAAGAATGAATGAATGAATGATAAAAATTAGTATTTGTCCCATTCTAGAACTCTATCTTCAATAGTTTTACACCCTTCAAAAATCACTATGATAAAAGAGTCAATATTATATAAAATATCAAATACTAGCAACTCTTAAGAGGCTGATATGTAAAAATATATAATTGCCAGTAGTAAAATTAGGGGGAAAGCTGGACCATTGTGAATCTATTTAGATGTCTGCTGTGCATGGGTAATATCATTGTTTACCTTTCAAGCACCACCCTATAATGAAAAGACCCATGGAAGCTGACAGAAATCAGTTTCAAACGAAACACAAACCTGTACATCTTCACAGGTCAGAATCTGTGACTCTTGACTATCGATCAATGTGAAGGAGCCAACAGGAGGGCCACTCAGGGCCTCAGCATCACGTGCTTCTAAGAGAAAGCCTCTAAATTCTGGACCTGACAAAGTAACTGAGAAACAGACAAAAAGATAATTTAAGAGATTTAGCAACATCCCAAAAGGGAACTGTTCAGAGGAGACACAGTCAGAGTTAGGAGCGGGTGTTCATACACAAAACTAACCCAAGAGAGGAAACAGTACAAATCATCCTAAAAACAAAGTTCTAAACTGTGTTCCATAGGACATCCGCTCCGTGAGATGTTAATAGCCATTCCACAGCAGCAAAAAAGGTAGGCAGTGGTCAGGGGGTGGTCCATGGGGCCAAATCAGTTTGGAAAATGCTGGATAAAAGTAATTGTTTCTTTACTGCAAATCCTACTGTGCACTATGAAACTATTATATGTAATTATATGTATTATAATAGTTTCATAGTGCACAGTAATATAGTATATGATATGATATGATATAGATATATTATATGTAACAAACAGCTTGTGTTTTCCATATATCTTTTTGTTAGAGAGTACCTATTAATATTTTCCATTTCTAGAGCTGCAGAAAATAGAATTTGTAAATGCTATTACATATACACCTTTGTCAGCCTACATTTTGTGAAGAGAATCGAGGAAACAGAGAGATCACACTATATCAAGAAAGATAAGGGTTTATTATATCTTAAACCAAATAAAATAAACTTTGTTTTCCTTTTCTATTGAGTTAATGGTACTGCTAATGATGATACATTAAATAATCATAAAAACATATTTTAAAACCTGTTCTGAGCAGTAGATATACTATTTAAATAATATAGTCATCTACAGTAAACACAAAAATGGATAGTATATGATAATGGCAACTTATCATATAGGTGAAGAGATTTCACTAAAATTGTATAGCCCCAATAGTAATAAAAATTCAATTTCCAATAAAAGAATAAAAGTCACAATGTAAATAGTTAGGTCTAGTACAGTACCTTTGACCTGATCTCCTGATGTGAATGTCATCTGGCTCACTGAAACGTTGTGCTTAGGATCAGTGCATGGAGTATGACCATGGTTAGGAACCATTCCACCACACGAATTTGGTACTTTTCCATTGGGATAATTAGCTACAGAGTTGATGTGCAACAGAAGTATGAAGGCACCAACGGTAAATCCAGGAGCTGCCATCTCAGATAGAAGAAGATTAAAAGCACTTTATTTTCAAGTGTAATTAATAAAACATAAAAGCTTTCATACCACAGGACAGTAATTCTAGAGAATTATTTCCTTTCAATAATCAGCTAACCATATTCTCAGAAATACGTAATAAAAAAAATGTGATATGTGAAGTCTGACCAGGGTTTGAATCTCAGCTCTACCAATTGCCAATTGTGAGACTTTAAGCAAATTTACTTAGCCTCTACATCATTACTTGAAAAATGAGGACCCTAAGACCCTCCTTTCAGAGTTGTTTTGATAAAATGAAGATACAGCTGAAAGTTTGATAAGGAAGATAATAAATGTTAGCTTTCATTAGTATGGTTGGGGAATAATAAACTAATCCAATTAAAACAAAAGGTTTTATTCCACTTCATCCTAGAAAGCTTACAACACAAATAAGAGATGTTTCTCCTGGATTTAAACATCACCTGAATAAATCTGATACAAATTCTCCCAACTTGCCATTAAGCTAATTTTTTTTTTTTTGCCATTAAACTAATCTTGATGACAGGGTGGATAAATTAATTTGCAATACTGAAAACTGAGGGTAACAGACAACCCATTGCAAAAGACAATATTTCTATTACCTATAGCCCAGATATTTCTGATTTAAGAAACACAGTTGTCAGCCCAAGCAATTTACTTCCTCTCATCCAGTTTATCTGCCTCTTACCATCTGCCTGATAGGAAACCGGCTGCTTTATGTGAGTACCACCCTCCTAGAGCCCAGATTAACCACTTCATTTCGTGCACATGTTCAAAACCTGCAAATCATAGTATATAACAAGCTAGAGATAAATGGGCAGGGACATGTTACATGGCAGTAAATGAAGTCAGCACTGTGGACAGGCTGCCAATGGGAAGAGGCCAAGAAGCGGCTCATTCTCCACAGCAATGGAGTTTCCCGTATCATAGATCTGGTTACAGACAAAAGAAAAGCACCCTTAGAATCATTAGAATAAATTATCTTTTTACAGTCATGTACATTAAAAACAAACCCCCACACTGGAGCAGAGCTAAACTACAGGAGTTTGGGCATGACACCAGGAATTGCACTAAAGGCTGCACACTTTAACCAGCCCTACACCTCACACCAGTAGCTACAGCGGGTTGACAGCTTAAGATCTAACGGTACTGTATATTCCTTTCTTTTATCAATCTCTGAAGCCAGGTAGAATTTTTCCCATTTAAGGATAGGCAAGAGGAAGAAATGAACCAACCAAATACTTCTGAAAAAAGTTGACAGCATAAGAGAAGCACAAAGTTTCTCTGTAGACTCCAAGGAAAAGCGTAACTTCGAAAATGATTACCATTTTTCCCTATGTATATATAAGACGCACCCTTTTTCGAAAAATTTGGGATCTAAAAATTGGGCGCGTCTTATACAGTGGTTGTAGGTATTTTTTACTTGCATTTCCTGCTTTTTTCGCCCTTGTTTTTGCACTCATTGTTTCGCACTTGTTACCGGTATATTACAGTAGGTTACGTTTTGCCACGTTCTGCCCAGAAATGGCTCAGAAAAGATTTTCGTACAGTGCTGAATTCAAGTTAAAAGTGAATGGAAATCGTGCTGCTGAACGTAAATTTGGTCCTTGTCCAACTGAGAAAACAATCCAAGACTGGCTACGGGAAGAAGAAACCCTACTGAAAATGCCACGGCAGAAGAAGGCTATGGAAAGCAATATATGAAGACAGTGATTAGTCATCAGACACAGATGAGGACAAGCTAATGGTTGGGAGTTTTGACAGTGATGAGGAGTTGTACGAATTTTATGATGAATAAAACTTGAGTTCAATAACTTTATGTAATACTTTTTTTTTTCAAATTTTGGGCCCAAAAATTAAGGTGTGCCTTATACATGGGAGCATCTTATACATAGGGAAATACGGTGATTACTATAGGAAACAGTACTTAAGGAAATAAATGCTAAAGAGTTGAGTACTAGGAAGATTTTTCTATCACACGTGGCTTTCAGGTCCCTTTGATGGGGACAGATGTGCTTTTAAGACCAGGCAGGATTTACTAGAGACGATCAAAGTTATAGTTTTAACCATGTGACTTTGGCCAAGTTATTATGAAGATTAAACGCAGTAATGTGCCATTCAACAAAAGGAAGATTATTGTGGGAACAGTTAGTTCAGTCTAACAAACACTTTTTTGGCACTGACTTCCCATCAGGTGAGAGTGGAAACAAGACTTGATTTCTAGTCTCTGCTATGCACGAAGGAGCTAAACAGCATCAATCAAGTCACTTAATCTGTATTTCAGTTTCTTCATTTACAAAATATAGTGAGTGAAGCAGAATAAATCCAGGGCCACTTTCAACCTTAATATTATGATATTAGGAAAGCAAAGTGGAAACACATCATGGGAATTCACAGAGCCAGGAATATAAGACAGGAAAAGGAAGTGACTAAGACACAATCACCTGTCATTCACTAGGTAAATACAACAAACAAGGACAGAGAAGAAAGTAAATAGCAATTTCTTTGTCCTTGGGCAGATGCTGACCATCCAAGGCGAAGTTAGTTCTATTTTCATTACAGTGGCTAATGACGGTTTTCCAGTTGACGATTTCAGGGCCAACCTTTTTTCAAACTAATACATTAATTCATTAGCCAACTTATGCCAATAATCTATGGAATATGGATAATGAGCTATGATTTACAAGAAAAATTCCCACCAATTTTGTATGATTTTTACAAGATTTTAATATTCACATTCAATCATGGATACAAACATAGAAAATGGAACAAAGGACATCATAACTTGCATTTTGTCATCCCAGGGGAAAGATAGGTCTATTCATCCAAAAGATTAAAAGAGAGGTTATCCTGATTCTCTTACTGAAATAGTCCCAAATCTGATGAAATGTATAGTTTTCTTTCTTGCCTGAAAGACAGGCACTTAGTAAAAAGCTATAATGGCTGCTTATACCATGTTCTACATACATTTCACACAAAGATAAGATTTCACAACAAATGTATTCTTTATTATTTCAGTACCAAATTCTTGTACATGGTTAAATACGAAGTCTGACAATTAAGTTCACGAACTTGTTGCAACGATGTTGCTAACCGTTTTTTGCTATCAGAGAGATTATTCATTATGAATTT